ATGTTACACGTGAAGTACCACAGTTACATAATTTCACACCCACTTCCTCGTTACAGAGAAACAGAAAAGTATTCCTTGAACCGCAGGTGTAACATTTGTTAGGACTTGAGGGTTTTTATGCATTCATCCTCATGGCTGTGGACGTCGTATTAGGTGTGCTGGCAACAGAGGATAAGCTTGCTGTAGGTAAAATAAATAAATAATGAATAAATAACAGTATTTTTCAATGCAGCAACTCTTCTCAACTCAAGAGAATGATTTTAAAAGTGTTTGAGAACATGTAAAACATCCAACACTTGCAACAAACCTGTGTGTAATCAACGTGTGCGTGAACTTTGCAGGTTTACCTTTAGAGTATTCCCACTGGATGGTAGGAACGGGATAGCCTTCAGCTGAGCAGTTTAGTATCACTGCTTTCCCATAGATGCCATCCTGGTCTTTAGGTTGCACCACAAATTTGGGAGGAACTGCAAGTGAAGAAAGCTTACTGTGAGATCTTTACATCTAAAAAGTCACAGGAACATTTCAGTTCAGAGTGGGGAAAAAGACCAAGTGAAAGTACAGTGTGGTCCGCAAACATCCACTTCCTTAAACTCCTGAGAAGTGCAGCCATCCCTCATTTCTTTACATTTTCCAGGAAATAGGAACAGTGATTTATTGAAACGTGTAAACATACATAAATGTAAAAAGTTTATACAATTCTCACAAGGTTTAGAATCACTAAAGGGCTAAAGCAGGAAAGTCAAACTCATTTTATACTGTGGGCCACATACAGCCACACAAACCCAGAGGGCCACTTCTGGCTGAAGACGTTCTGAACTCTTGCGGGTTTCTTTAAGCAGTCTTCTGGGAAAGTTCTCCCGGCTTCTTGAAGGACATTCATTGATTGTCTTTGGATGCTGGCTGCTGTTTGTTCAATTCTCTATCAAGATGATCCCACAATGTGCATCGTTTGAGATCATTGATACAGTTAGGCCCATATATACAGTGTTGGGGAGTAACGGAATACATGTACCGCCGTTACGTATTTAAAATACAAAATATGAGTAACTGTATTCC